TTTCTCTGCAGCTGGAATTTGGTTCTTGGTGAGAGGTTGAGTGCAGGAACTGGAATTTGGTTCTTGTGGTAGATTAAGTGTAAGATTGTAATCTGTAAAACATTTAATCTAGTGGAACCCAGCTGGAATTTGGCTGGAGACTGGACGTAGCCCTGGTATTGGGTGAACCAGTATAAAACATCGGTGATATCTTTCTTAACCTTTCTCTCCTTTAATTCTGTCACTGCGTTTATATTTGATTGATTGCTTTGTGATTCAAGAACAGATCTGAAATCTTAATTTTTGAATTAGATAATCTGTTATTTGCGAAAAACTTTCAAAGATCAATTCACCCCCCCCCCCTTGATCTAAAACTACTTTTCTAACATAAGTGTGAACATTGTGGCAAGCTAGGTCACAAGATTGACCAGTGTTATGCATTACATGAGTGTGAACATTATGGCAAGTTAGGTCACAAGATTGACAAGTGTTATGCATTACATGGTCATCCTCCTCGATCTGCTGCAGTTGTTCAGACTGATCTTTTCCCACCTTTTCCCACTGTGTCTGTCACACACACAGGTACATCTTTTGCTAGTCTGACTCAATCTTCTTCTGGTCCTTGGGTTTTTTATTTAGGAGCCACTGATCATATTACTGGTAACAAATCTTTGTTCCCCTCTTTATCCTCTCATAATCCTTTACCTTCTGTTACACTAGCTGATGGCTCTAGAGTATCATCTCATGGTGTTGGAACTGTTAAACTTTTCCCTTCTTTAATCATTGATAATGTTTTTTAGTTCCCTGGGTCTCCTTTTAACCTGTTATCCATCAGTCGTCTAACTTGTTATCTTGATTATGTTGCTTTTTTTACCAACAATTATGTGTGTTTACAGGACCGGAGTTCGAAATAGGTGATTGGCACAGGATGTGAGTCTCATGGTCTTTATCATCTTCGTCCCTTTACACATGTTGGTGCAGTTATGGAGTCTCCCTCTCTCCCATTATATTGGTTTGAGTTATCATCGACTGTCATTACCTTTTTATACATGTCTTTCCTCTCTTTCTTCTATGACCATTCCAAAAATTGTCCGTGAAGCTTTAGCCCATCTTGGTTGGCGTCAGGTCATGTTAGATGAACTAAGTGTTCTTCATAATAGTGGAACTTGGGAATTGGTCTCGTTACCGTCTAAGAAATCTATTGTTGGTTGCAGGTGGGTGTTTGCTATCATAGTTGAAACTGATGGTACTATTGATCGCCTCAAAACTCGTCTTGTGGCCAAAGGTTATACTCATATTTTTGGGTTGAATTATGGAGATACATTTTCCCCCATGGCAAAGATGACTTTTATTCGTTTATTTATCCTCATGACCGCTCTTCAACAATAGTCTCTTTATCAACTAGATGTTAAAAATGTTTTCCTCAATGGTGATTTGCAAGAAGAAATCTATATGGAGCAACCTCTTGGGTTTGTTGCTCAGGGGAGTCTTCTGGGATGGTATGTCTTCTTCGCAAATCCTTATATGGCCTAAAACAGTCTCCTAGGGTCTGGTTTAGAAAGTTTAGCAAAGTTGTTCAACAATTTAATATGACTCAGTGTGAAGTAGATCACTCTGTCTTTTATCGACACTCGAGTGCTGGATGTGTTTACTTGATAGTATATGTTGATGACATCGTTCTTACGAGTAATGACAACCATGGCATCTCTCAGTTTAAACAACATCTCTGTCACCATTTTTAGATCAAAGATCTTGACAAACTTAGATATTTCTTGGGTATTAAGGTGGCATAGATGGTGTTGTTAAATCTCAGAGGAAGTATGCCATGAATATTTTGGAGGAAACTAGGTTGATGAGTTCAAAGTCTGTTGATACACCCATGGATCCCAATACTAAACTTCTACAAAATCAGGGGGAGCTTATACCTGATCCTGAGCAGTATAGAAGAGTGGTTAGAAAATTGAATTATCTTACAGTTACTCGTCCTGACATTTCCTTTGCAGTCAATGTGGTAAGCCAATTTCTTAATTCCCCATATGAAGATTATTGGAATGCAGTCATTCGTATCTTAAAGTATATTAAAGGATCTCCTGGAAAAAAAATTGTTATATGGTTCTAATAACCATACAAGAGTTGTTTGCTACTCAGATGTTAATTGGGTAGGATCTCCTTCGGATAGAAGATCTACATCTGGATATTGTGTCTCCATTAGTGGTAACTTGGTCTCATGGAAAAGTAAGAAACAAAGTGTTGTGGTAAGATCTAGTGCAAAAGCAGAATATAGAGTTATGGCCTCAGTTGCCTGTGAACTTGTTTGGCTCAAGCAATTGCTTAGAGAATTATAATTTGGAGATGTCACTCAAATGTCACTTGTGTGTGACAATCAGACTGCTCTTCATATTAGCTATAATCATGTCTTTCATGAGAGGACCAAACACATTAAGATTGACTGTCATTTCATTCAAGAAAAGATTATGTCTGGAGACTTCAAGACTAAGTTTGTTAACTCAAGTGATCAGTTAACATATATTTTTACTAAATCTTTACGGGAGCGTAGAATTGATTATATTTGTAACAAGCTTGACACATATGATTTGTATGCTCCAGCTTGAGGGGGAGTATTGAATATTGTTTAGATATTATTTAATATTGTTAAGATTTTTAGATATTATTAACCACAATATCTTCTATTTATTCTCGTTACTCTTTTAGTTGTATCTCTTTATTATAAATATATTACCCTGTGATTTATACATAAGGGAGATTAATCTCAAACTCTATTTCTTTTATATTCAACATTAACTTTATTAAAAACATTGCTTATCAATATTTCCTATTTTAAATCTCATTATTTCAATAAAATTTCTCACTCATCCCTTCTTAATATACTTTTCCGTAAAAAGTTAATATACTTTTCCTTTGATATTCCATTACAAATTTTAATTACTACACCATTTATACTCTTTAATTTAATTTTCTGATAAATTATTTGATATTTCAATAAAAAAATTAAATTAACTAAAACCTAAACCTAAAATTACATAAATAAATGTCTAAAAATACATAAAAGCTATATATTTATAAACTAATTTAGCAATTAGTTTTGGTAAACAATTCTGAACATATTTGATAAAAACGACTTTTAAACTTTCAATCAAATATTTAAATTTTGGCTAACTACGCTGGTTGTTCTGTTAAACAGGACTTTATTTATGTTGTAGTTTGTTTTGTTTAGCAAGTTTGGTAATGTTTTGTTGGTTTAGTGAAGCTTGTTATTTACCCCTATTTGTATTTATCCTTTGTCCCAATTGGAAAATTTTAAAAAGTCTAGGGGGGCAATTGTACCGAGGGACAACAATATTGTACTATATGTCCATTTTTCGTTCAAGGAAGTTTTCACATAGTCCACATGCATCCTACAGACAACAATCCTATTCGACATAGTTCCACTAATGTTTCCTACACGTTTTCTTTTTCAGTCTCAAAACTTAAATCTTATTTAAGAAAAAACAAACATGTACCACTTAATTCTTATTTAAATTATGTTTCCAATAAAGACGAGGATTTTATTCTATTAACATTTAAACTTAAAGATGACATCGGTTCATTGTAATATTTAAGATGTCCAAATTTATTCAGAGGTTTGCTCTGTCATTTTCTCGTTATCGTTCATCTTAATAACTTACGAATAAAAAATAGAGATTACATGTAGAAAGACAAAGTTAAGCTTCTTGGATTCCAGTGTTTGACAGTTCAATAATTTTTCAAGAGCAGGCAAATTAGAAGCAGGAATTTATATGATCATATCTCAGCTTTTAATCAGGTACAAAAAATTAACATTGGAAACTAACTACGAAAGCAACCCAGATTGATGTGGATTAGGCTTCATATAAGACGATTCTATAGTGGTCCAAAGTTGTCTTTAGTCAAGATTGATGGCAAATGGATTATAACTGAAAGGGACTATTAAGGAAAATTGACAGAACATAGTGGCCGCTGTGTGAAAGCATGTTTCGGGGGAAAAGGGAAATCTGACATGTAATACTAGTAAAATCAATATGAGAAATAATGCCTTCTCGCAAAATCTCATGTGAAACCAAATCATAGAGAGTGAAAGTATGAAAAAAATGAATAGCAGGAGATGGGACCAACAACAAATCGCGCATGGTAAAAAGGGCGAAAACTCTATGTTGGTACAATTATGTTGCCATCGGGTTAGCACTAATAGATATGACTGATAAGGGAGTGATGCAGCATCCCGGAAACTGCTTTGGATACCGATATTTTTACTTCAAAATTATAATTTGCGGTTGAGGTGGAGGGTAGGAGAACTTAATAAAAAATAAACACTGGCATCAATTTATTTTTTATAAAAATGTAGCATTATTCGAGTTCCTCGATAACAAAATTTGGCATTAATTAAGCAACTCTAGTTCATAGGAATTTGACTCACTAGAGCTTTTTTATAATAGAAAATTACATTTAAATTTTCAATCTCATCATCGTATATAGAAATATGATTAACAGACAACTGATGCCAATAGGACTACATTAACTGTGACAATAATATTTTTAAAAGAAGGAAATACGAGTAGAGCATTACTTCAAGATTTACACATTCTACATATTAGCATTATATTATAATATTTCCAGCTAATCTTCCTGTCCGGAAAGACTAACTAATGGAATTTGTCAAAATATTACAACAAAGTAACACTAAGCAATGCTTAATACAGAAAAAGTTCATATTCTACCGATCTCAATCTCAAAAAGAAATTGCTTCTGCGACTACAAAATTGACATCCAAAGTAGTATGTGAGGTAAATAAGAAAAATATGATGTTTTGTTCAACTTGCAATCGGGAAAACTTGGGGGCCTTAAATACGCTGAAATGGTACTAACCTATGTATGAAGCCATGTATTACAAAACTATCCTATTGAAGTATGTTGTATAACCTAATGAGTTATACACTGATGAAGAAAGATCAACAGGATATTGAATGTCAGTGGCTCTTATGCGTCTAACCTAATTGATTGCGGCTCGACTTGTGATGTCTCTCTTTCCTATATCTCGATTGTCCTGGATCAAATCCACCTTCCTCCGATCCATAGATGGCCCAGGATGGTGTGGCAGTCATGTAATCTATGCTGTCAAAAGTTCTTCCAGATGCCACCTGAAAATAAATTGAGGCTAAAACTCATAAACAAACAATACAAATTGGTCCAAAAGAACAGTAGGAATCAGATACCAACCAGATCATGAAATTTTTCATAGTCTATCCATGTATGCCACTGGCCATCGATTTTGAACTTGTTAGTTTTTGCTAACAGTACACAGCACGAGTGAGCATGCTCACATGCAACTTCATACTGCCCTTCGCTTTTCAAAGCTAGGGCCTCTGAAAAAGCTTTCACATCAGTATGCCAAGGGACATTTTCCATTGTCAATTTTGATGTAGTGGACCTGTGAAGAGCACATTGTCATTTAAAGCCAGTTGGAGTGCTGGACTAGGGGGGGAGAAAGTGTGGGGACTTACGAGCCACAATATGTAACTCCCTTGATTTCAACAAAGTCAGGATCTCCTAAGCTAAAGAGCTTAGAATAAGCATCAACGTCTTCAGTATTCCAACCTTTCACCAGGGTAAGGCGGTATACAGTTCGCTGATGTTTTTCCCTTAAAGCAGTCAAGGAATCCTGCACATAGTTAAGAACGTATATAGACAAACTGATAAAGAGAACAAAGTATACACCACATGGTAAGATTATATACATCATAAAAAGAAAAAGAAATTGACTTAGTTTTGTTTTTTCAGTCGCTTATCATTAAGAATAGGAAAATATAGTTTGGAGAGCTTGATTACTCCTCTTATCAATCTTCTATTTATAATGAAAAATCTCATACAAGAAAACATAGACACTTAAATACAAAACTAGGTACAACAGTAGGACAGTTGGCAGGTGTTTCCAACACACTACCACTTACTCGAACTTAATGATTACACATAAATTTAATAACTATTTTAATACTCTCCTTCAAACTGGAACATACAAACTGTACGTAGCTTGAAACAAATGAATTCAATCTGAAGTCCTCTTAAGGACTTGGTCAACATATCTGCAAGTTGGTCATTTGATCCAACAAACTCAGTACAAATTGCTTTGGACAATAATTTTTCCCAAACAAAATGACAGTTAATTTCTATGTGTTTGGTTCTTTAATGAAATATTGGATTTGACACTATGTGGAGAACAACTTAATTATCACAATACATTTTTATGGTCTGGACTTCACAAAACTTAAGATCTCAAAAGAATTGTTTTATCCATATAAGTTCACAAATGAGAGACATCATTGCCCTGTATTTAGCTTCAGCAGTAGATCTGGTCACTACATTTTGCTTCTTACTTTTCCATGAGATAATATTTCTTTCAAGGAAAACACAATATCCTGTAGTAAAGCGTCTATCAGTTGGGGAGTTTGCCCAATCAACATCACAATATCCGAAGACTTGAACATTTTCTTTATCTTTAAATAGCAAACCTTGTCCTGAGCCTTTTTGAGGTATCTTAGAATACGAATGATAACATTCCAATGGCCAATACATGGGGCCTGCATGAACTAACTAACGACTCTTACTGCAAAAGATACATCAGGTTTCGTAATAATGAGATAAATTAGTTTTCCAACTAGTCGTCTATATCTTTCTGGATCAGGAAATGATTCACCTTCTTTCGTCATTAGTTTTTTATTTTGGTCCATAGGACTATCTATTAGCCTATAGTCAAGCATACTTGTCTCTTGTAGGATATCAAGAGCGTATTTCCTCTAAGAGATAACAACCCCATCTTTTGACTGAGTTACCTCAATGCCCAAAAAATATTTAAGACTCCCAAGATCCTTGGTTTGAAAATGTTTGCACAAATACTCTTTCAATTGAGATACTCCGGCCACATCATTTTCTGTAATAACTATATCATTAATATAGACTATCAGGTAAATACATATCTTAAAATGGGTATTACAATAAAAAATTAAATGATCTGCTTTACTGCGTTTTAGCCCAAAATTTTGAACAACTAAGCTGAATTTACCAAACCAAACATGTGGTGATTGTTTAAGGCCATAGAAAGAGAGGCACAACTTACAAACCTTACCAGACTCCCCCTGAGCAATGAACTAAGGAGGTTGCTTCATATATACTTCCTCTGCAAGGTCACCATGTAGAAAGATCCAATTGATGGAGTGACCAATGACTAATTGTTGTCATGACAAAAAAGAGACGGATAGTAGTCATCTTGACCACTGGATAGAAAGTATCACTATAATCGATACCATAAATTTGAGTGTACCTTTTTGCAATTAATTGTGCCTTGAGACAATTTACTTCACCATTAGGACCAACTTTAACGGTATAAACCCATCAACACCCAACTGCCTTTTTGTCAAGTAGGAGGGAAACTAACTCTCAAGTATTACTTGGTCAAGAGCCTACATTTCTGCAATTATGACTTGTCATCATCCAGGATGATCAAGTGCTTTCGTCAAATTTTTGGGAATGGGAATAAAAGACACTGAGGATAGAAAAGAATAAGAAGGCTATAATCGAAGATAACTAAGAAAATTATAAGTAGGATGTGAGTTTTGAGTGGAACGAGTACCTTTTCTAAGAGCAATGGGTCAGCCTGAATCTTCTTCATCAAGAGTCGTGGTATTGGATGACGATAGAGAAGAATTTGAAGTAGAGGATTCACCTGGTTCTTGGATAACTGGACTAGTTATTTGGGTCTCATGAATATCAATAGCAAGAGGATTGTGACCAACACTAGGATTAACAGAGATACTGGAAGTAGTGGATTAGACTGATGATATCAGGAGGACATGCTGAATGACATGCACATCTTGAACGGATGAAAAAAAATAAGGAGTCTGTTCAAAATATGTAACATTAGTATACATATAGTACTTCTTGGTTTCAGGAGAGTAATATCAATACCCCTTTTGAAGTCAAGAATAGTCCAAGAAGACACATTTGATCGCACGAGCAGACAACTTGTCCAACCCTGGAGACATATCATGAACAAAACATATATAACCAAACACACACAGAGAAATGTGAAAGAGATAATCATTTGGAAAAAGTATAAAAAAGGGACCTTATTATTAAGAGAGGAGGATGACATCCTGATAATAAGAAAGCATGCAGTTAAGATGACATCCACCAATGATGGACAGAAATATTTGCACCAAGCAATAGGGTACAAGCAGTCTCGACTAAGTATCTATTCTTCCTTTTTGCTATACCATTTTGTTGTGGTGTGAGGACAAGTGGACTGATGTAATTGCTAAAATCATTACTTCCTAGTATTATTATTAGACCTAAGTATAAGGTGTTGAGTGTAGGAAACTTCCTACATTTGTATCTAGGTTTGCACCTAAGGTCCTAGTTGCAGTCTTTTACTTAGTCTTCTATATCTTATTATATCAGATTTTTCATTATAAATAAAAGAAAGGGAGAAGGGTCCCAAGAGCCCTGAAGATATATTTTTTCTCTATTAATCTTAAGTTGGTATCAGAGCGGGTCGATCCTGCTCTGGTTTTTGTCTGGTCTTGTCCACCACCATTAGCCACCGCTGTCTGTGGCTGCCCACCATTAGCTACCACTGTCCGTGGCCGTCCAAGCTCAGTTTTATCACTATCAGAAGCTATGTTTTGCTCTGTTGGACTGTCCAATACTGTCACGGATCTTTCCGTCGCTGTCTATCGCTGTTAGCCGCCGCCAGCCGCCGCCAGCCGCCATAGTTTCGTCCGGAAACCACCAGATTTGGAACGCCTCTCCAAGCGACAGCCAACCTTGCCGGTGATGAAGGGAGACTCCTCACGACACGCCGCCACACGCACCATCTCCGTTCGCTGTAGCCAGGCGTGTGCAGTCCATGCGCCGGATCGTCATTACGCCACCTCAATAGCTTTCGCCCGAACTGTTGAAATATACAAGGACTTGATGTTGAACTTACATGGACATGAAGCTTGTTGATTTTGATGATGATTCAAGAACAAAGAACTTAGAGAGTTGAAGACTTGTACTCTTGTGTAATAACTTTGTTTTGATGAGTTTAAGTTTGTAATATTAGAGTTTAAGATAGTCAGTACATAGTCTACTCTTTAGAAGTTTCAAAAACTCATTTTTATCAAAAATCCATTGGTTTAATCGATTAAAAGGCCAAATAATCGATTATTACAGAAAAAAAAAAAAAAAAAAAAAACCATTTTTTGTATCAGCTCTCTGTAATAATCGATTAACAGGCCTGTTAATCAATTAACTGCCCAAATAATCGATTAAAGCAGTGCATTGTGGGTTCATGTTAATTTTGGCTCTGTAATAATCGATTAACACTTGAGATAATCGATTATTTCAGTTATATTTGCATTTTGAACTTCAAATTAAACCTATTTTCGAAAACCATAGTCCCAATACACCAAGTTTCGAAAATCCCCAATTCCCAAACCCTAATTCATCTACTTAAGATTCTCTAAGGCTCTCAGAAGAAAAAACAACATTTTTCAAACAAAAGTTGAGAACTGTGATTGTCAGAGAACTGTTTGTTGGAGGAAAAAGAGGCTTTTGGAACCTATTGTGGGCTAGAAGCGATAAGAATCACTAAGTGGAGTTCTTGGTGGATTGTGTGTTGTACCGTCTCTAGGGAAAGTTGTTCTTCATCTCTTGTGTGACTCAAGAGAGGTGTTTTCGTTATCTTATCTTTTTATTTGTAATCTGCTTGTATAACTTTGATTATAGTGACAGCGTTAATCCTCTGTTTGAGTGATTAGCAACTGAACGTAGGATCTTTTGATCCGAACCAGTATAAATCTTTTGTGTAAGACTCTATCTTTATCCTATTTACGTTTACAAAGCATTTTAATCGGTAAACTTTGAAAAAAAAAAATTAAAACCTAATTTTTGTTAAGAAACCAATTCACCCCCCCTCTTGGTTTTTGTCCGTTTATGTAAACATCCCGCTGCGCGATTCTAATAAGTGGTATCAGAGCTTGCTTTGATAGTCATTCAAATTTTTCAAAAATGGTCGGACAAAATCAAACGTTTGCCGAAGGTGCTTCTATCAACATACCCCCATTTTTTTGCAGGTCAAAGTTATCCATTTTGGAAAATTAGAATGCAAATCTTTTTAGAGTCTGTTGATAGAAGTGTTTGGGATGCTATTTTAAACGGTCCCTATATTCCTAAAGTTTCTGAAAACGGAGTAGACGTTCCTAAACCATTTTCTAGACGGACGGCGGAGGAAAATAGAAAAACTCAATTTGATGTTAGGGTTAGAAATATAATTTCATCTACTTTAACCCTTGATGAGTTTTACAGGATCTCTGTTTGTAAAAGTGCTCAAGAAATGTGGGAAATGTTGAGAGTGACCCACGAAGGTACCGACGACGTTAAGAGAGCACAGAAAAATTCTCTAATTCAAGAATATGAGATATTCCGAATGCAACAAGGAGAAACGATATTTGACGTTCAAAAGCGTTTCACACACATTGTGAACCATCTCACCGGATTAGGTAAAATTTTTAACGTTGATGAATTAAATATGAAAATCTTGAAATCTTTGGATAGGAAATGACAACCTAAAGTGATGGCCATCTCGGAGTCACAAAACCTTGTCACCATGTCTATGGCGGCACT